ATCAAGGGACCATATTTGCATAAATCTATGGCGGGAAATGTTTATCTCTGTGTACATCCTCATGTTGGTCTCTTTTGAGTAAGCATTCAGACAGATTTGTCATGGTTCATGAACAACAATGGGTCCGGTAGTTGACAGGGCCTTTCCTCTAAATGCCCAAGAACTGAAACTGTGGATTCCACCAACCAGATATTTCCTCCTGACTCAGACATCCCCAGAAACTGAGGTGAGTAGTTCAACAGTTACCAGACAGCATTAAAAAAAAAAAAGAGTGAAAAGTCTTCTACTTCCTGAACTGGTTCCTGCATCCTCTCACTCTTTCTGGTGATAGCAACTTAAAAATAGCTCAGTCTCAGATGACTGGGTTGGCACCCTGGTTGGGTTCAGGGAGTTTTAAATGAAAATACAATGCTCTTTTTTCCAAAATAGGCAGAGAGATTTGATTTGAAAATAAAGTGTTATCCAAGCCATAACAAGAGCTTCATGGCCTTGATAACTGTTCTCTGTTTAAACACTGAGTCTCCAGGCTGGTTTCTGGGCTTAGTCCACTGAAGGAGAATGATCCAGAAAAGTGTGCTAGTGATCTTGTGCACTTGGATGGACACTCGAACCCACAGGCACAGGCCTGGGAAATATCCCTGCCCCAGCCAACGTGGAGTCATTTCTCATACTTTTTCTCTCCTTTTAAACATTTCATCTTTTTAAATTATATCAGAGTGTGTGTGTGTGTGTGTGTGTGTGTGTGTGTTTGTTCATGCTTGTTGCTTGTAGTATGTACCATGTAAGTGCAGGTGCCTGAGGAGTTCAGAGGAGGGTGTCAGATCTCCTGGGGTTGGAATTTTAGGCAGTTGTGAGCTGTTGAACCCCAGTTCTCCAAAAGCAGTACATAGTCTTAACTGCTGGGCAATATCTCCAGGTCCATCTCTTAGATATTTTTGCACCTAAGCCAGATAATCTTTGCCCTGTGAAAAGCTTGAGCTTGCAGCCTGGCTTTTCCCACTCTCACAGACTGCAGGTTGTACATCAGGCAGAGCCCTTGCCGTTAAGCAAACATTTGCTTTCTTTTTTTCTGAGGGGTACTGCTCTTTCTGGAAGTGTTGGGGTAATCACAGTAGCTGATAACAGTATGCTGTTCTTCAGATGGCCAGGTGCAGCTATGGCTTTCACAAAGATGTGAGGATTCTGGGCTCTCACATGCTCTCATTATTGGGCTGTTTTTCAGCATTCCTGCCAGCATTAGGCTGTGAAAAGTGACTTCCCTCAGGTGCAGACCTCTCTCTCTCTCTCTCTCTCTCTCTCTCTCTCTCTCTCTCTCTCTCTCTCTCTCTCTCTCTCTCTCTGTGTGTGTGTGTGTGTGTGTGTGTGTGTGTGTATCGGTCTTTCTCTCTGTCTCTCTGTGTGTCTCTGCCTCCTCCCCCCTGTGTGTGTGTGTGTCTCTATGTGTGTGTGTGTGTGTGTGTGTGTGTGTGTGTGTGTGTGTGTATCGGTCTTTCTCTCTGTCTCTCTGTGTGTCTCTGCCTCCTCCCCCCTGTGTGTGTGTGTGTCTCTATGTGTGTGTGTGTGTGTGTGTGTGTGTGTGTGTGTGTGTGTGTGTGTGTGTTCATGTGAGTGTAGAGGTCACAGGACAGCCTCGGGCCTGGAACTCTCTGAGTAGCTAGACTGGCTGGCCAGCAAACCCCAGGAATCCTCCTTTCTTCATCTCCCCAGCATGAGATACTACACCTGACATTTTACATGGGTTTGGGGAATCAAACTCAGGTCCTCAGTCTTGAACAAGGACCTTACTGACTGAGCCATCTCTCCTGAAATCACTCCAGGTCTCACCTTATTCTGTTTCTACACTGTCCAGATTTATTTTAGATTCGGCCTTGACCATCTAAGTGTGTGAGCCTGGGAACCCTTGCCTCTGAACCTAGACAAAAGGTCACATGACCTCCGTACAAGAGGAAGGCAGACAGCTCTTTAGTGGAACTGTGGTGAATGACCCACATGATCTGACCCAACAGAGAGATGGGAGGATGCCTTACAAGACCCTTTGTCTTCAGTGAATAAAGCAGATCATGAAGATAAATATTCACTAAGATCCTATCTTGTGCCACATCCAATACTAAGTTCTCTTATATCAGGCTTTTCATAAAAGGAGATGATAATTAAAGTGGTCACAGAGTCGTATATGTAATTGAATTTATAATACATGAAGGAATGTTTTGTATGTTACAGTATTTTATTAATTATAGATAGATGGGATGCCTGGATATTCATAGAAACACGGGTTTTCCCTTCCTGCTGTCCAAACTGGGATCATTTATTTATATGGTATTGGGAGGGGTAGGCAGGAGTTGGAAAAGGGTCTCACATTCATCCCAGGCTGGCTTTGAGCTCAAAGCAATCCTCCTGCCTCAGTATCGCTCGTTCTAAGCTATGAGGTATGAATTACCATGCCTTGCTTACCATTTATATATAGTTTTTGTAGTACAATACCATTAATTTTAAGGAGGTCAAATAAATATTTACTGGTGAACCTTGTGTGCAATAGAGGTTTCCCTGGACCCAAGGAGCAGGCCTGAAGTCTGTTGCAGCTTGTTCACTGCCGTGGGTTTCATCCATGTCCGTTCCTGAGTTCACTGTCGTGGGTTTCATCCATGTCCGTTCCTGAGTTCACTGCCATGGGTTTCATCCATGTCCATTCCTGAGTTCACTGTCGTGGGTTTCATCCACGTCCGTTCCTGAGTTCACCGTTGTGGGTTTCATCCATGTCCATTCCTGAGTTCACTGTCGTGGGTTTCATCCATGTCCATTCCTGAGTTCACTGTCGTGGGTTTCATCCATGTCCGTTCCTGAGTTCACCATTGTGGGCTTCATCCATGTCCATTCCTGAGTTCACTGTCGTGGGTTTCATCCATGTCCGTTCCTGAGTTCACTGTCGTGGGTTTCATCCATGTCCGTTCCTGAGTTCACCGTTGTGGGCTTCATCCACGTCCGTTCCTGAGTTCACCGTTGTGGGCTTCATCCATGTCCATTCTTTTCTGAGTTCACTGCTGTGAGTTCTGTCCATTGTCCTCTCTTCTCAGCTGCTGGACTCGACTCTTCCGGCATTAAATCGAATCCATAAAGGAGTAAGTCAGAGTTTGTAACCCTGTTATTTTTTAACAAATCTGCACATGTAAGATGATTTTGGTCAGCCTAATCTTACCCCTTCTTGCCTTGAAATGGTTAGCCACTTGATAACCCAGGAAAAACACAGGGTGAGCCTAGGTAGGCATTGTCTTCCCAGGGTGCCTCACTGAATACTAGTTTTGATTTAAGATTTTTGAAAACCTTGAGCTGGCTCACTTAGTAAGGTTCTTACCTTGAAAGCATGAGGACGTGAGTTCAGCCCCCAGAGCACATGTAAAAAAACTGTCTGCAGAGACACATTCCTGAAATCCAGCAATGGAGGCCTGGAAGCTTGTGATCAGCTCCCGACTTACGCAGCAAGTTCCCTAGACAACGAAAGACTCTGTCTCAAGGAGAAGGTAGAAGCCACCTGAGAGCTGACACCTGAGCTTGTCCTCTGACCTCTGCATACACACCACACTACCAGACCCCAATCCAAAAGTATGAATAAGCAAAATATCTTGACTACTTTGTTAAACAGACATTAAACATGTTATTGATCCTCATTATCTATTGCATTAATTTAATCTATTGTTTGCGTGTGTGTGTGTGTGTGTGTGTGTGTGTGTGTGTGTGTGTGTAGAGGTGTACATGAGGCAGTTGGCTCTCTCCTTCCACCATGTGGGTCCTGGGAGGTGAGGAGAGATAGAGCTCAGGTCCTCAGGTGGCAGACATATCTGCTGAGCCATGTCAACTGTCCAGTCCTCGCAGTGTAAATTGAGATAAAGCTGGCTTCCATTTTCAGTTTGCCTTGCTTATGAATCATGAAAACTGAGGATTTTTATTTCCCAAGGAGGAAGGAAAACTTGAATTAACTGGGTCCCACTCGGTGGCCCTAAGCACACCCTTACTCCCCAGATTTTTGCTAACTTATTGTCCGGTAAGTTAGAGATCTTTACCTGCCAGGCAAGCTTGTTTCCCTCCAGACTTTCTGATAGGAGCTGTGTCTGTGTCCAGCCCTGTGCTGTGGAACCGTACCCACTAGGAACTGAGCTTTGCAGTGTGTGTATGCTGTGTTCACACAACACACCGATTTTCTGATGTGTGTCTAGTGGGACTGTGACTTCAGGCAGCTGCTCTGAGCTCACAGCTGCCCTGAGCTCCGGTTCCTCCCGGAGAAGCTCAATTATCCCGTTTCCCTGTTCATACCTGGCAATAGTCTTCCCAAATTGGAGCAATAGAAGTTTCTGGATGCAAAATTTTAATCTTCAGTACTGGCGTAACTGAGATGGGCTGGCATCAGAGTGAGAATGCTGACGGTTTGGGTGTTTGATTCCAGAAACCCAGGGCAGCTTTATTGTTATCAGGAAAGGGACTGTGAGGTAACAATTCCAGCAAAAGCAGAAGCCAAGGGCAAAACCAAAAGTATGTGGGGGAAATGTGGACTTGGGTTCCACTGAGAGTGACGTGGAGAAAGAATTCCAAAAGGCAGTTTAAGGGGAAGAGGCTCTTGTTTCATTTGTGAAAAACTCATGTGGTCGATTGGAGTGTTGACCAGGGGAACAGAAGCCGGGGGAAAGGAGAGTCTGGACCATCTGAGAGCATGTGCCCCAAAACGAAGGGGATTTCCAGGACACGGAACAGCAGGTGGGAAATCAAGGAAGTTTGGAGGGGATTCTGAGGATCCTTGCAGAAGCTGTAGCTTTTCGGGACTGGTATGAAAGTCCTGGATTGGCAGATGGAGCCTGGACAAGGCAGCCGAACACCTAGGAGAAGGAGGTGGGTGGGGTCTGATGTGGCTCTCACCTGGAGTTGTCTGGGAGGATATGCAAATTCGAGGCCACAGGAGAGAGTTGAAAGGCTGGATTGGCTGTGAGCCGCGTTGAAGGAGGTTGGTTTGGGGAGCTGCCTGCCTGAAGGCTTGCTCGGATGTGAGCTAGGCTGTCAGTCCTTTGGATCACAGACAGTAGACCGTGGTATTTACCAGCTTCAGGAAGATCAGGCTGCTGGAGTTTTTCCCCCTGTACTAACCAGCCAGTCAGACTGGGCACTTACTGTCTGAGCTATTGTCTAGGATGAGTTTTACTGGTAAAACTAGATGAGTCCTAGACTATTAAGGGGCCTGTTTATACTGACTTTATTTTGATTGTCGGCCATCAAGTGGGACAAGGAAATCACATTCTAAGGTCAGCAGGTGAGAGGCAGGACTCTGCCCTACTTTTCTCTGCGTGTATGCGCCTGTTTGTAAGCCTGCCTGCATGTGTGTGTGCCTCTCTGTCTGTATGTGTGTGTCTGCCTGTTTCTTTCTCTGTGTGTGTGTGTGTGTTTGTGAGTGTGTATTTGTGTGTCTATGTAAACTTGCCTCTGTATTCACAAGTGTATCTGTGAGCTCATACTCTTCCAAATGCTGATTCTGGCCCTCATCTGATTGACAAGGCTTGTGCTGGTCATAATGGTGAGAAACCAGAGGACTTGTTTGCAATTTCTTATTTGTTTACGGGTAAGGAAGTAAATCAATTGCAAAATTTTCTGCATTGGAGGGCTGGGGGTATTTACTGTCAACAGATAAGGACAAGGAGATGTAAAGATACTGGGCACCAAGGTGCTCCTGGTGTCAGGACAAATGAGGATAAAAAAGCCAGTATTAGCCAACATCAGGCAGCATCAGGTGGGCTCCAATCCATTTCCATCAAATCTCCTTTTGAATCTTTCTGTAATTCCCTGAAAGATGGCGGATGAATTCTCACAAGTTGGAAAGGAAAACGGCAGCGAGCAGGTGAGAAGAAGCCAGGTCTCTGGTCCATGCTCACAGTTCCAGAGAAGTTTCATCCAGAGAGTAACGTTGCTGGGAAAGCTGCCCACCAGCTTTGTCCTCCGTCGAGAAAAGAAACAGAAGGTTGCTGCTATACTAGGGATTGACCAAGAAGCCATGAAGTCTCTTCCAGAGGGAGACTTACAAGATTCCCTGCTGAGTAAGGTGAGCCAGGCCTGCCTCTCCTGGGCACACCCTCGCCCTCTCCACCCCACTGACATTGGTCCAGAAGGATTCCCCTGCTTCTGGAGATTGTAAGCTGGTTCTCGAGAACACAGAACCACTAGCCTCAGCGTGCTGAGGAAGTTCACACAGTCAGGGCTTTTGCCTGAGGTTCTGGTGCACAGAAGAATGCTGGGCACAAAATGCAGAGCAGATCTCTGCCTCGTCTATTGCTGCCACTTAATGTGGCCATTTAATCTACTTTAGCCTCAGACTTCTTTTCCATAAAAGGAGAGTCTGAATGGAGTCACTGGGAAACGACCAGCCAGGCACAGGCACAATGACACATACCTGTGATGCCAAAATTTGAGAGGTGGAGGAAGGGGGATCAGAAGTTGAAAGTATCCTTGGGCTACATGAGACCTTGCCTCAAAAAAAAAAAATAAGCAAATGAACTTAAGACAAAGCTTTTTACAAACTGCATAACTGATAGTCTTTAAAGATATTATTTGGGAGCTGGAGAGATAGCTCAGTGGTTGAGAGCCTTAGTTGCAGTCCCAGAGGACCCAGGTTTGATTCCCAGCACTCACATGGTGACTCATAACCATATGTACTGTCTGTGCCATGTGTAATTCCAGTTCTAGGGGTGTAACACCTGGCCCAAGCACACGTGTTGTGCATAGACATGCATGCTGGTAAAACACCTATACATGTAAAATAAAAATAAAACATACATCTTTAAAAAGATCATTTCATTTATAAGCTGGGCGTGGTGGGGCACACTTTTAGTCCCAGCAGTCAGGAGACAGAGGCAGGCATATCTCTGTGAGTTCAAGGCCAGACTGGTCTACAGAGTAGGTTCCGGACGAGTTTGTACTACATAGAGAGACTTTGCCTCAAGAAAAAGAAAGGAAGGAAGGAAGGGAGGGAGGGAGGAGGAAGGAAGGAAGAGGTAGAGAAAAGGGCTAATTTTAATCTCAGGCTTTTTAGATGTTAGACTTTGTAGGGACCTTAAACGTTATTCAAGTTAAGATGTTCCATTGTTGGACTTGCTTGTGAAGCTTGTAAGGCCTGCAGTTAATGTTTAAACAAAAAGGTTTAAGCTGAGAGGTAGGGACTGGTCTCTGGCTTTCATGCCTTTATGTGTAAACAGAGCAAAGATTGTTATCACAGTGAGACAGGAGTGTGCTTTTTAGACAAAACCATCAAGGGGAAATCTACATGAATAAAAAACAATAGTGAACAAAGTAATTTCCCATGGCTCCTCTACACAGAAGCAGTTGACTGGCATCTTCCTGGGGTCTTGTGTTTTCTGGAAAAACAGCATTCCTGCTTTCTTAGCTTGGCATTCAAATGATTTCACCTGTCTCTGGGCATTCCCACCAGCAGAAATGGTAAATGGTATTCTCAATGTGGTCCAGCCTGGGCTCATGCATGGCCTGTTCGGTCTACAGTGCATTTTCTCAAGTTTTCTTTCATAGACATTTCAATTATAGATACTTTGCATAAGAATCTGGATTTCTGTCTCCTGTGGGAATGAAAAGAATCAGAATACATGCAAGCGTAGGTCCAGTGTCCGGCCTGGAAATCCTGGGCTGAGTGCTTGTTAGAATGTGTGCCAGCCAGTTCCCAGAGGCTGGAGCCCTTTGCCCCAGTCTGACAGAGCCCTCCATGCTCTGTCTCTTTCCCTGAAGGTGGGCCAGCCTCTATATCCGCCCTGTAAGAGCTATGTCCTAAACAGACTTCAGGCCTAGGAGTTGTTTGTTGTTGTTCAGAGTTAGCTTAAAGGTTCCCATAACACCCAGGCAGAGAGCACTTGTCATCCTGGGAACTCTGGAGCAGATACTGTTTATTGATTGTTCACTGGCTCTCCTAGTTCAGTTTTGGTAGCTGACTTACACCCTGTGAAGGTTTAATTCCTTCTACCTTTTAAGAGGGACCAACCGTTTCCTGGACACATTCCGTATTCCCAGAGTATCTTGCACAGACGTGGTCTGAATCCCTTCAGAGTTCACTGATGATGAGGAAACACACTCTGAAAGGCGCTGGCAGGTCGAGGTGCAGGAAACTCTTATTTAATGTAGCCATCAACCAACCGCCAATTTTTTTCTTTTTTGTTAACTTGTTCTTATTGAGCTATACATTTCTCCCAGTCCCCTTCCCTCCTCCCCTCTCCATTTCTATAGAGGAAGACGTTTATAGAGATGAAAAGACTTAACTAGAGTCTGGTGGCTCTACGGGCTGCGCCTCTTCTCCTAAACTTCTCTATCTCATAGATGCAGACATAGAACCCCCACTTTACGTCAAATTCTGCTCTGTGGTTGGGGCAGCTCAAGACCTGATGCTAATGGGAAAGAAATGCCGTGCGTGCCCGAGGGATGGCTGGCCACACCTGAAGATTGTTCTTAACTCCCCAGGAAGAAGGGAGCATCCTGTGTACAGTCACTGAGTGCTAGCTGCCACGCACGCAGACCCAGGGCTGCAATGGAGAGCTTTGCAGAGCGAAAGGAAGGGCCTTGGCTCTGATGGGAGAAGTGGTCCACAGAAAGAGGAATGGAGATGAGGGCTTGGAGGATGTGTTAGGTTTCCATAAATGAAGAAGAAAAGTACAGGAGGAAACCCAATTTCTCCACCCACCCCATTTGACGGGAGTTTTGTATTCAGCTACCCTTTCTTTTAGGGAAGCAGGATCTGAGGTAGCAAATATGGCCTGTCTGTAACTTACTAACTCTGGTACAAGTTGTTCCTGACCTTCAAATTCCCCATCTATAAAATGGGAACCATCATCATATATGGCAGTAAAGGAAGCTTGGGTAGTCCTGTCTGATACAAAGTGTCCAGCACCCTAGAAGGACTGAGTAACCTCAGCTTCACAGTGCTGCTACCGGTGTGCTACTGCTACAGCATTTGGAGCTGCAAATACCAGGTGGTCCAGGCATTCCTCATAGAACTGAGCAGAGAAGAAGGCCCACTGTTTCCTCTGTTTCTGTCAATAAATGCATGGCGTTCTCTTTAAACTGGCAGCCTAGAGGACAGGGACGGTTTGTGCTCTGTTTTAACCAGTTATTAGATTTAAAGCAATTCCAAGATTAACAGCCCAACTTTTTGTTGTCTGGGAGGAAGCTCTCAAGTCATTTTTTCCTCCCTGCCCTCCCCCTGGGTGATGCTCATGTATGTAGACCACCTGTTCTCGGTGCAGCCAGCCCCATACAAATTTTCCTGCATGCTGCTCAGTTGGCTCTCCACGGAGTTCAAGGAAGAAGATTGCAACACCCGTGCCGTGAGTCAGCGTAGTGTTGTTACAGGGAACAGTCTTGAATTCCCAATAATTTATATTTGAAACAGTAAATTATTCACAAACCTGAACTATTAATAGCAGCAAAGGATTTGTGGGTCAACAATAACCCAGAGGCAATGGCTGGGTAGGAGTGGGGGGGAGCCTCGGATGAGACAGGGACATGTGCGCAGGCACGTAGACGCACCCGGGGAGAGGGAGGCCCTGGGCAAAGCTATGGAGTGAAGGCGTCATCTGCTGCCCCAGGTGACCTTGGAGCATCTAGCCTTGCGTGTCTGGTTGACTCAGTGTGGCTTAGTTCTGCTTGGGCTCTGCCACACCCACAAATGCAGCCCTTGACAAAGAGAATGGACCGTTTTTTGGTTTGTTGGGTTTGTCAGAGAGGAGATAGGTGAAAAACTTGGATAGACCCCCAAGATCAAGCTTGGATTGTGTTTTGTTTTGAGTCTATTTTCTTCAATTATCCAATTTCCCCCTTGTATTTATTTTCAAACTTTTCTATGCTTGAAATACATTTGGCGATGAGACTGTATTGCTGCCCTATTGACATTTGAGAGTCTATAAAGGAAAGGGACTCTGAGATTGGGCTTGGAGAGGCCTGCACTTGTGGGAAAGCATCCATCTTTTACCAAAATCACTCTGCAATCAGCTTCAGGCTGCATCTCTACATTTCCTCACCCAGAGGTTGAATCCTCTTGTTCTGTCTCTCTGGATTCAGTCACAATAAACGGAAGGCAGTAGTTGAGGTGGGCATCAATGTCTAGGTTGGGGATGCAACCTGAGACCAGGCCTGGGATCCCCAGCATGCAGTGCTGTAGATTGCTTGGTGTTGATGTAGTTATAAGAGCCTGTCACTACACACATGACCAGTAGTGTGGAAGTAGTGGGCAGATACCACCTGATGAAGTGGTACCCAGCTTCAGCAACCTAGGCACTGTGGGGACAGACCTGCCTGGGGCTCTGGTCTACACCTGCATCACTGTCCAGCTTCTACTGTGTTAGCCTAGTGTGCTTGTGGGATGCAAGAACAGTCTGTAGCAGCTCTAGACTCACTGTTTCATGAGCCCTGACTCCATTCTGAAAGGCTTTTCTAGGCCCAGGAAGAAGATAAGGGGTGAGTTCTATTCACAGCACTCTTGTCCTCGAGGGTGTGGCAGGGGGTGCTGGAAAATAGCATTGGAAACCCCGTGCATGTGGTCTGCTTCTAATTGCCAGTGTGACAGGAGAGCCAGTGACATCAGATAAGATGCTTTCTGAAGTTGGAATAATTCTAAGATGCTGAGTTTAAGGCACCCAAGTGTAAGAAGTGACAGAGAGGAATTTGCCGTCTTAGCTTCCAGGCAGCCCAGTCCTCCCTCCTGACCTTTATGTCTGCAGATCAGAACACATGAGGATGATGAGCTAAGCACCCGGATAATGAGAGTGATTATAGGTACCTGCCAGGATGTGTCCAGTCTTGCTCTGCCCAGTCACTGTCCAGTCTGTGGTCAAGTTCACTCACAAGGAAGAATTTTTGTTCTGAAGAAAGCTGTTCTTTGGGGTGTTTTGCCCCATCCCCCACCCCAGTGCCAATGCTCTAATGGATCTTAGTGTATGGGTTCGTTTTTTGTCAACTTGACAGAAGCTTGAGTCTTGTTGCTATTGTTTGGTTTTTCCAGACAGGATTTCTCTGCATATCCCTAGGTGCCCTGGAACTCACTCTGTAGCACCAGGCTGGCCTCAAATTCAGAGATCTCCCTGCTTCTGCCTCCTAACTGCTGGGACTAAAGGCATGTGCCACAATGCCTGGTCTAGTTAGAGTCATTTTGAAGAGGGAACATCGATTGAGAAAATGCCCTCATCAGATTGGCTTGTAGGCAAGTCTGTGGGGGAGTTTTCTTGGTTGACGGTTGCTGTGGGAGGGTGCAGCCCACTGTAGGCAGGTAGTCCAGGGTTGTATAAGAAAGATAGCGGAGCAGGCGGTGGAGAGCAAGGCATTAAGCAGCACCCCTCCAAGGCCTCTGCTTGAGTTCCTGCCTGAAGCTTTCTGCCCTAACTTCCTGGGTGTAGGAATATGATTGGAATGTCTAAGCCAAATATACTTTCTTCCTCCAAGTTTTTGGTCTATATTTTATCATAGCAATAGAAATCAACTTAGGACACTTAGCTTATTAATGTGAGTGAGTGTGTGTGTCCACTGGGTTTTTCACATTCAAATTCTGTGGAATCATATCCATAAACTGAAAGATTTGGAGAGTTTGGGATTATTAGCCCTGGCCCTCCATGCCTTCTGAGAAGTTAGCTACAATGACACCTCCTCCTCACCACCTGACGTCAGTGATCTACCTAGTCAGAGCATCCTGCGTGGCTTCTTTATTTCGGCACTTGTAATGTAATGATGCTATATAATTTTCTTCACTTCACTCATTTAGTAGATCCATCCCTGTTCAGTGCCCTGCAATCTACCTGTCTGGCTATATGCATTCTATTCTCAAGCTGGAAAAGCCTACTCAATGACTCAAACCCCACCTAGCTTCCCCCCCTCCACCTCTTGCCTAGCACACCCCAGACCGAGCACCTCAGCCTGACCTGGAAGGCTAAGCAGTGCTTTGGACTCTCTCACAGCTGAGCTCACTCATACCCCACAGCCTCATGGACCTCACCATGTCTACAACTCCTTACTCACGTCTTTACACAAGTACCCAAGCCGTCCCTCATCCCTTGGGAAGCTGGTCTAGTCTATTACCTGGAGTCTGGCGCTTGTTGCATATTGCCTTATCTCCTATCCTGTGAAGAAAACAGACTTCAAGCAGGAAATCTCTCCAATTCCCACCCCCTCTTTCCCTTATCTCTCCCGCTCCTCTTTCCCTCTGAGACAATGTGGTGGTGGGTTCCTGAGGGTTTGCATGACACTTTCCTCCTGGGAAATCCCTCCTCAATGTGTGAGCCTTTTCCTCCAGCAGTGACACTTTCCTCCGTGTTTAGACACACCTAAGCTTGTGTCAGTTTAAGAGAGCCTGCTTCCAGCCCTGCTGGTTTTACCTAATTTGTTTGCTTCCATGGTCAAGCTTCATGAGAAGTGGTAACCCTTTGCCCTCATGAATTCATCCCCATTGGCTCCCTGTTCTGGTTGGGAAACTCTGCAGACTCTTGGGGCACTGGCCTCAACCTTTATTTTCAGGACCTGCCGCCTCACATACACATGTTGAGACAAGGCCCCACGTTCCCAGGACTTGCTGATCTTCCGGCGCCCACTTCCGAGGCACCAGGACATGGGCATGCATGGGGTGCTCAGGGTCTGTACTGGTGGAACCCAGGGCTCCATGAGCATTAGCAAGCGTCCACTCAGCCAGAGCTAGATCCCTAGACCCCATCTGACTCCCTCCAGCCTCACCTTCTGCCTCCAGGAAGGACTCTTGGCCTCCAGTTGAGACAACTGTCCTTTTGCCTGGCATCCACAGCATCCTATGCATGTCATTCCCCAGAACCTGACTGTGGCAAATTTAATCCATCGGAATGACCGTCTGTAATCTTTGGCCATGAAGTACACAGTTCAGCAAGAAGTAGGCGTTCGGTGAAAACGGGCTGAATGGAGTTGAATCAAACACAGGGGAAGTCCTGTCTGTGGGGACCTTTAACCAAAGGTTTCCAAAGGCATCCTCCTTTAGTTTTGGCATCTTGAACCTGCTCTCCTATGATCACCTTTCTTTCACTTGCAGCCCAGAGGATGCAGAGCCTCCATAGGGCACAGCGTTTCAAAGAGGTTCCCTCAGCCCGTGACCCATGGGTTACCCATGGTGAATGTAGTGGGGTGAGCATTGCAGGGATGGAAGAGGAGGATGGCTGCTAGCGGCAAAAGCAAACTGTTAAACTACTGATAGGACTGCTGTATTTATGGTAAAGCACGATACATGGGCTTCAAAAAGACTGTTTTGTGTATTTGATGTTTCCAACGAGATTCTCGGGTCTGCAGCATTACGGGCCTCATTATTGTCTCTTGCTGCTCAGTGTAGTGTTGGGCATCTGGACAGCACAAGTTTGTTTTCCAAAGACAGTACTTTGTATATGGAGTGGTTCATATCAAAGAGATCTCCTCTCTGCTGTATCCACCCCACACTTCCCTGCGATGGAGCCCCGGCATGTGCATTCTCTTTCATGTGGTTTTCCCAGTGCTGTAAGTTCATAGTCAATGTCTGTCTGCTTTGTTCCTGTGACCCAGCATGAAGCTGTACCCTGCATACAATGAGTGATAAATAAATATCACTGGACTGACTCTCTGGGCTATGAGACCTATGCAGACAGGTGTGTTCTGAGACTTGCATTCTGTCTCTGTATGTGATGGCTCTGTAGGAGCTCTCAGGTGCCTGGAGTGATGGATGACTTAGCATTGGTCAAATGTCTTTGACTTGCAATTTTCTTATCTGGCTGTTTTGAGTAGTTTTGGAATCTGCTTTCCAGAGTTCTCTCCATGACTCAACTCAAATGTGACCTTCTCTGACCTCTCTATCTGAAATAGCCACACCTTATCCACTGGTCTTTACCCTAACTCAGCATTCTTTATGGCACTTTTCAAAACTGGTATGTAGAGCATTACAGTCTGCACGCACAGCCATGTGTTTTCAACCAGAGGGACTGTACATCTGTCTCATCTGTTGCTAAGCATTTTGAGATGGGACTTGTGTGACCCATGCTGGCCTTGAACTCACTGCAGAGCCAGAGCTGGTCCTGAACTCCAGATCCTCCTACCTCTACCTCCAGCATTCTGGGATCACAGATGTGTGTCACATTTCCCCCATCCTTGCTGTTGCCTTGATTTCTGCTATGTCCCCAGCCTCTGCCCAGGGTAAGTCTTGGACAGATTTGAGCAACTGTACCTGTTACAGAAGAAAACAAGTGTCGCTTTGGTCACTGCCAGACCTAAGCAGCCCAACTTGCTTGTAGTCCTGGGAGGCAAGATTCTTGCCTTGAACTTGGGTCTAGCTTCACTGGGCCATGTCACCTACGCAGGTGCCTCAGGTCTCATAACTGTTCTGCTGATCCCCTCACACCCAGGTGGACCTGAGGCGCCAGCAGATTTCCCAGAGTGTGGAGGAAGTGCAGAAAGTTATTCACCACCTGACAGCAGAGATCAGCCTCCAGGACAGTCGATTCCAAGCCGTGCCTGCCTCTGTCACGTACAATGACAGCATTAAGGTAAGCAGGGCTCTCTGAAGTGCTCCAGGAAACACCCAAACCCTTGGATGGGAGGAACTCCATGTGGGAGAGGTGCTTATCCCACTGAGAACATAGTGCTGCCCCATTGTACAGATGTTCTTCCAGTCACCGTTTACATACCCCACGAAGTTTTCCCTTGTGGGAGCCCCCACACTCCTAGACCACAGAGGTTAGGGTGGAGGAAGCCAAAGGGAATGATTGAGTCCTATTTGGTCCTAAAGCCAGAACTTGTTACAAAGACTCTGAATCTGAAGCATGCTGCCTCATGGTCAAAGCTGGGTTAGGCACCAGCTCATTTATTAAGCACCTACTGAATAGCTAAGGAACTAGGCAGAAGTGAGGGAACTGATGGGTGGTGGTCTCTGGGGTACAGGTCGGGGGAAGCAGAAGAGCAGAGACAGCTCTGAGAGACTGTAGGATTGCAGCACAGTCCCTCTCTGCTGAGGGATCCCACTGAGTGTAGCCACCAGGGCCAATGCGTGACAGCAGCAATCTCCCTCAGACCCCCTGGGAGCCTGGAGGCAGGACTGCACACTCATGTCCACTATGAAACAGGAAGAGGGTTCTGTGTTGTTCTGAATCCTGCCATTCTCAGATTTCCTGCAGACAAACCTCTTTCACCTTGCATTGGTTTCACATGGTCTGTTTCCCCACTAGTCTGTAAGAGCCTTGATCTTAGGGAGCATGTTTGTTGTTGCTTCATATCCAGCATCTGGTGCCCTGCCTGCACATTTGGCCTATGAGGAATGAGCATGGGCACCTGGTACAGGGTCCACTCACAAGGTTCAAAGACTTGTGGATTTGGGGGCAGAATCAGATTTCTGGAAATTTATTCTAGGATGAAGATTGTAAAATTGGCTTTGATCCTATCATTTTAGAATACTTGTCCACCTCTTCCTCCCTAGACCAGTCTCAATAAGGCAGATACAGCCCCAGGACTGGAGAGAGAAACACCACATCACTGAACTAAAAAATTCCCTGCTATGCTCCCGGTTAGATCAAGAGCTCAAAATACATCCTGTGTTGTCCCATATGTTAAGGTTTAAAATAGGGTTGGAGATGTGGCTCAGTCAGTAAAGTGCTGGCCTAGCATGGGCTTGGTGGCCTAGCATGGGCTTGGCTTGCTGGCCTAGCGTGGGCTTGGCTTGCTGGCCTAGCATGGGCTTGCTGGCCTAGCATGGGCTTGCTGGCCTAGCATGGGCTTGCTGGCCTAGCATGGGCTTGCTGGCCTAGCATGGGCTTGGCTTGCTGGCCTAGCGTGGGCTTGCTGGCCTAGCACGGGCTTGCTGGCCTAGCATGGGCTTGCTGGCCTAGCATGGGCTTGCTGGCCTAGCACGGGCTTGCTGGCCTAGCATGGGCTTGCTGGCCTAGCATGGGCTTGCTGGCCTAGCATGGGCTTGCTGGCCTAGCATGGGCTTGCTGGCCTAGCATGGGCTTGCTGGCCTAGCATGGGCTTGCTGGCCTAGCATGGGCTTGCTGGCCTAGCACGGGCTTGCTGGCCTAGCATGGGCTTGCTGGCCTAGCGTGGGCTTGCTGGCCTAGCATGCACCAAGCCCTGGGTTTGATCCCCAGCACTGCTGTGATCTCGGCACTCGGGAAGGAGGACGAGATGTGCATGATCGCCCTTGGTTTCTGTATTAGTTTGCTGTTTTCCTTTGCTGCTGCTGTGATAAAATGCCGTAACCAAAGCTGACTATGGAAGAAAGAATTCTTTTGAGCTTATATGTCACGGCGGGAGCCTGGCAGCAAGCAGCGGGTGAGGCGGCAGGAGCAGGGATCATCTTCAACCACAAACATGAATCAGAGTGGACTGGAGGTGGAGCCAGGTTCTGAACTCTCAAAGTCGGCTCCCAGTCACATCCTTCCTCCACACTACCTCCCCAAGCTGGAACCAGGTGTAAATACGTGAGCCTAGGGGGAATGCTCTGGTTCAAACCACCACCGATCCACATCAAGTCTGAGACCAGTCTGGGATACATGAGACCCTGGGAAGGAAGGAAAGAAGGGAGGCAGGGAGGGAGGAAGGGAGGGAGAGAAGGAGAGAAGGAGGGAGGAAGAGAAGGAGGAAGGAAGGAAGGAAGGATGGAAGGATGGAAGGAAGGAAGGAAGGACACATAAAATGGCTTTAGTTATTATCTTGAACTAAACTTGATAAGTATTTATGGAGCACTGTTTGTAGTTTTAGTCTTTACCTGATGTTGTTGGGGGATGTGGGTGAATGGTCATGCTCCTGTTCAGGGGTGTGGATGTGCTGATGGCAGCCATAAGTCAACATCAGGCTCTTCCTCAGTGGCTCCCCACCTTGTGTTTTGAGACAGGGTCTCTTGCTGACCTGCAGCTCACTGGTTCTGTTACACGGGATAGTCAACAAGTCCTAGGGATCTGTCCGCCTGCCGCTGCCTCTGCCTCCCCAGTGCTGTGCTTACCAGCATGAGTTTTGCGGGTGCTGGTGATCAGAGCTCAAGTTCTCAACGCTTGTATGGCAAGCGCCGTGTGGTCCGAGCCATCTGTCCAGCCCCACCGTTGCACCCTTGAACTCACGTGCAAGTGGATTCAGATACACTTACAGTTTAGGTGTCTGCCCCCCCTATTTAATCCAACCTCTGGACTCCAGAAGTCGGATGGTACCATCATCTCAACCATCAAATGTTCTCTGAAAGTGAGCAGGATCAGCTGAATCGCTCACTAGGGACAAAAGTTCACTCTTGTTGGACTTGCCATAACTTTCTTCACAGAAGATGTGGCTGAATGAACAAAGAGGGTGCCAGTAAGTTTGCCCAGGCACAGCCAGAGTTCAGGGTCCCTCTGGCAGATTTGCATTGCTAACTAGTTTATTGTGTCCCTTGCATTGTAAGGCTGCTATGTCTGCCTTCTTCCTGCCCACTGCTTCACTGGTTCCCGGAGAGTTGGAGTGGGTGGATTCAGATCCATTTTTCCATTAAAGACAGAATCAACTCAATGGCTCACATTGTCCAGACAGACAGGCTTTCGTTTCACCTTGATTCTGCAAGGATTAGTCATTCATACTGACCCTGGGTCATTGTCACAGGAAAGAAGGAAGGGTGGCACTTCAAAGTTCTGTCGCCTTCTCCTTCACGTCACAGCATTCAGCTGTCCCAGGACATCCTCTTTTGATGCAGAATTAGTCCAGGGCAGAACCACTGAAGAAGCTAGCGAAAGAACTCAATTAAAATTTCCGCTCTTCCGCTTGCTGGCACGGTCCCTAGGGTGATCCGCAAGCCCCTCTGAGACTTGGGTTGCTTACTTGGGGAAGTGGTATCAAAGTTACCTCTTATTTGACTTCAGAGAAGGAAGAGGCACAGCCAGAGACCTTGTGTGTGTGTGCGTGTGTTTGTGTGCGTGCGTGCGTGCGTGCGTGCGTGCGTGCGTGTGTGTGTGTGTGTGTGTGTGTGTGTGTGTGTGTGAGTGGATGTATTTCCCTTCCCTTTCTTCTCTCCTAAACCCAGGTCCCTTCAGGGCACTGGGTTTTCTTCACACTTAACTTGTGGCCTCACAAAACCCAGAACTCTTGAGTCACTCTGTCTGCCACAGCCTCAGATGGGTTTGTGGCAAAACAAACAACAAACCTTAATTCTCAGCAGCCTCTTGGTCTCTTTTCTGCCTACCTCATCACACTGCTGAGGGTTGGATGGTCACGTGAGCTGCCTGGCTGGGCAGGTCGCCACCCCTCTACCTGTCACCTCTCCCGGGTGTGAACTCAGCTTCTCTCTCTCTTTTTCTAATCCCAGGTTTTGGCCCCCAACCTGTTCCACGTCACCATCCCTCTGAAAGGCCTTGCAGGGTACAAGGGGGCCAGGACACAGCGCTGGCGGTACTACAGCCTGCAGGGCACCAAGCTCACCTGCCCTTTGCGGGACCCTGAGGGCCTACAGCAGTGGCTGGAGACTGAGCAGTTCATGAAGACCCTGTGGCAGTGGCACCAGGCAGATGTGAACATAGAGGGGGACATTGTGCCTGCCAAAGTCCTCCAAGTGTTCCGGACGCTGGTGGAAAATGCAGTGAGAACCTGTCACCTCTCAGGTGAGCTGATCAAGGGAAGACTCAGGGGTGTGGCTGGGATTCATCCTCAGGAAACCCTGCTGAGACTTAGAAATTACCAGCCTGACAAACACACCTCAGGCTGTGGGTTTTGTGCCCTTCCCAAACCTCAATGGCAAATCCCCCCTCCACACCCCTGCCCAAGACCTTGCTTATCAGCACATTTCCGTGCAAACAGCAAGCATCTGACTGAACTCAGGTGGAGAGACCGCTTGTTTGGAAAGCACCAACCCACTACAAAGTTCTGTCGCAGAAGCCCAGCACTGTTAGAACCCGCTGACCTCCACAACTGCAAACATGGAAGCCACAGTACAGGGTGACATATGCATAAATGAACACACATGTACACATGTGCACATGTGGGGAAACTGGCTAAATTCCTTAATGAACACACATGTACACATGTGCACATGTGGGGAAACTGGCTAAATTCCTTAATTACAGAAGCAGCTATACACCAGGAGGGAGAAAAGATGAGCTGAACAACAGAAACAATGGCACACAAAGCAAACCAGACAAAGGAAAAGGAAAAACCAGCGACACCAACAGGACTCTTAGGGGAAGAATATAAATGGTTTTTTAAAGGAAAATGTAGATTTTTTTTAAATGTAAAAAATTTTTAGCAGATTACCAGACATAGTGGCTGGTGCATGCGTGTAATTCCAGCACTGGAAAAGCTGAGGCAGGAGGATTACTACAAGTTTGAGGCCAGCCTGGGTTACAAAGTAAGAGCCTGTCTTATAAAATGAAACAATCAACAATCCGGACCAGAGAGGTGCACAGTGGTTCAGAGCGATGAGTTCGGTTCCTAGCAGGCTTGTAACTCCAGCTCCAGGGAATCTGACACCCACTGCTGACCTCCCTGGGTACCTGCATCCTGCGTACATACATATAGTCACACGCACCATGTAATTAAAATAAATCTAATACAACAACAACAAGGAATCCCAACAATAGTAAAAACACATTTAAAATGCCTAGCAGATTAACAGCTATGTGAAGTGTGAGAACTGTGCTCCTGCTGGGTGTTCGTGGGTCGGGTGAAACAGGAATCTTCATGCTCTTGGGAGCAAAACTCAGGGTTTCATTTTCAAAGGGCCATTTGTCCACTATATACTTGGAGATTCAACAAAGAAACTTTTGCAAGCACACAAAGAAATATGGCCAAGAATATCCTCTGCTCTGGGTTTGAAAATAGTAATAACCAACTAGAGAAAAATATCTAAATGATATGCTAGAAAAATGAACCAGTAAATGATGGCACCTTTGCCTGGCAGACTGCACAGCCTTGGCTGAGTGAGACATATGCAGGCACATACGTATTATGAAAATTACACAGGCTGTGGAACTCAGTGTCAAATGATACATTTGTAAATGTTTGCTTGTCTGGACAGAACAGCTCTGTAAGTCTCCATCCTGGTCATAGTCATAGATATTTACTTTATAGAAAGCACTTGTGTGGATTATTCTGTTCTTGTGACAGTTGGAGACTGGGGTAGCATATTTGGTAGAATATTTGCCTGGCATGCATAACACCCCGGATCTGATCCTCAGCACTGCATACATCAGACATGTTAGTTCACACCTCTGATGCCTACACTCTGCCAGGACGAGATGGGAGTATCAGAAATTCAAGGCCATCCTCTGTTGGATAGAAAGTTCAAGGCCAGCCTGAGATACAGGCGACCTTGTCAAAAAATAAAATCTGTTCTGTACCTATTCACCAATGAAAAGACGGAGACAGATTAAGTCACTAGCTGAGGGTCACACACCAGAGCCACATGCTTCTGCAGAAGCAAGATGTGGGCCAGGCCGATGAGCTCCAAGTTCAATCACTCCTAACACTTGGAGATATCTACTAGTGAAAGGAGGGATGGGTGAGTCACTGGGCCAGACCTGGGAGGAGGTTTCATTAAACAAGGCTGAAGCAATGTCAAAGCCACTCTGGTGCAATATAGACAGTCAGCCATCTTAACTGACTCAGAACAACATGCTTTCCTCGGGGCAGCCAAACACAGTGGAAGGCTTCCATTTCCTTCTAAGAAGGGATCAGTGAAATGACAGACCCTCATTCTTACCTGTAAGGAAGCCAAACAAACAAAAACACTCACATGTTGGGGCTGGAGAGATTGCTCCGTGGTTAGGGTTACTTGCTGCTCTTATAGAGGACCAGCATTCTGTAACTCCAGTTCTACAGACTCTGTTGCTCTCTTCATGCCTCTGCAGGCTGCTGCGTGCATTTGGTGAACATGAAATCACACAAGTGCACAAATACATACATATATGTATATGTGCATATATAATAATAAATCTGTTGTTTTGAAAAGAGGAGCCCTTTGTCAATGAGGGTAGGCTCAGAAAACTCACCACACACACTTATTTCCTCCTCTCTGATTGCTTGGAAAACGAAATAATGGGAAACCTCTCCCATGCACCTGACCCCTTCCAGTTCAGCTGCAATATGCTCTGGGCAGGGGAGGGGGGTGGGGAGGCGGGGCGGTGTTCATGATCAGATGGACTTAGGATGATAACTACATCTGGGTGAAGCTGGCTCCCAAGATGGATGATAGAAACAAGTACCATCCTCGAGACAGATTCCGATGAAAAACAGGCTAGTAGGACTCCCCTGGAAGGGACCTGGGTGAGGGTGGGGTCAGGGCCACCCTTTAGCAAAATTGTCCATACTTTCGCCTGCCTTCTGTCCCAAACCAGCGTTGAGGTGCTCGGGTGGAACAGAGCAGGACGGAGAAGTGTCAGATTCCATCTCACAATAGCCAATGCCATCCTTTCCCCCTTTCCCGTGACTTCCCTTCATTGAACCTGTCACTTTAAGTGGAAACCCTCTGACGTGGGATTATAGCTCAGAGGTATTGTGATCAGCATGTGTGAGGCCCTGGGCTCTATCTCCTGAACACACACACACACACACACACACACACACACACACACACACACACACAGATAACACATGCTGGAAAGCTTTGGAGGTGGCAAGGTTGTGAACCTGGCTGACTCTCTGTGTCAACAGAGCTGACACTGAGTGACAGCCACACTGACAGCTGCCCAGAGCATCTGCTCCATGATTCCTGCCTTCACCCTGATGAATGGAAAGCAAAAGCGTTCTCTTACCAAATGTCTCTCTGGTTGTTTCCCATCAGGCAAGGTCAGTGTGCTAGCAAACCGAACTGCTGTTTGGGTTGCCATAGAAACGTCCACTGGCCAGGTAGAGATGGAGCTGGCCCCTACTGTGGAGATCCCCACAGTCTGGTCTGAGAAAGCCCAGTGGCCTAGGTGTTTGACGCGGTGGCCGTCCCCGGACAGAGTGGAGTGCATCAAGGTACGGGTGACCACGCGGGGCTCATTCTGTAGAGTGCTAACAGCTTTTCCCATCTCATTACTGACCATGTAACGGCTTACTAGGGAAACGGGGTTCCTTAGAGCTGCTGTTCCAAGTGCATGCCCACCCTAACCCCCCCCCCAGTGCAGCACCACCCATGAGCTTGTCAGAAACCCTGGGCCTGCGGAATGAGTGTGGGGCAGATCCCAGGGACTTAGGTGAAGGCTGGTAAGTCCTCAAAGGCTCTGACACGGGTAGAGGCAGCTGAGCCAGCCCTGCTCCCTGCCTGTACTCAAGATGCTTGTGTCTTTCCACACTGCCATGCAGGCTTCCATGTTCTGCCACCCACATGTGAGTGAGAACATTCAATATGTGTTTGTCTTTTTCTGTGTCACTGCTCTTTGCACGTGGTACTCTAATTCCATCCATATTCCTGTGAATGGCTGGATTTGATTTCTTTTGTTGGCTGAATAATATTCCATCCGCTAGACATACCATGTGCTGTTGGGCCTGGGCCCCTAGGTCTATGTGGTCTGCTCTCTAGCCAGCATCGTGTTTCTCATTTTTCCAATCCTTTCTTCTTTTCCAGTCTTTTGGGTTCAATTTGGTGGCCCGGTCCAGCTATCATTGGCAGCTGAGTTTCCCGCAGGCGGAACAGGTGCTATTTGAGCAGTTGGATGAGGATGGGGGCTGCCGCAGACGGTGCTTTCAGGTCCTGAGGCAGCTGAAGGAGGATGTGTGGTGTCCAGGGAAGAGGCCAGTCATCACCACCCACCACCTGCAGGTGAGCATGGGGTGTGGCGAGGGGAGTCAGGGCAACTGTCTCTAGGTGGGTCCCAATGCAGGACAGGATCGGGACGGGGCCGTGGGAACTATTTTCAATCCCAGGGTTTCCACACTGAGTGCATTTCGGCTCAGGGGGACATAAAAACCTCAGCGGTGTGTCATACACCTGCCAGGGATGACAGTGACTCAATTTTCTTCCCTCCCTTCCTGAGTTCCCTTTTCTTCCCTCCTCTGTCCCCCTCTCTGTCCTCCCTTCTTTTTTGATGCAACATTAGGGATGATTTACTATACAAATAAACACCTTGTATGGCATACATTTGTGAGGTGTAGACTAATGATTTGAGACACGCGGAACATTCACCACGTGAAGCCAGGGTGACGGCATGTCCCGTCAAATGTTTATCCCATCCCTGTGCTGGGAGCCTTTGAACTGCCTTAGTTATTTCTAAACAGAATCTCTGCCATTTGCGCACGGCTGTGCTGGCTGCATCACCACACAGCCTGCCCCTGTCCCTCCCCCCTCCCTGACTTCTGCTTCTGAGGGACTCACCATATCAGTGCGCATGTGACCGTGAGCCTAAGTGTTTGTCTTCCCCTCTCTTTCTTATCTCACTCAACACAAGCGCCTCCGTTTGCTCCGTGTTGCTGCGCACGGCGGGATTCCACTCATTTTTTGTGGCTGAGTAGTAGTTCACCATGTAGGGCTACCACATTTTCTCTACTATTCTTTTGTTGATGGACACCTAGGTTGATCACTTGTTCTTGGCTATTGTGAATGATACTGTAATAACCAGAGCGTTGCATCTCTTTAATATTCTAGTGTCATGTCCTTGGTATACATACCCAAATTTTCAATTTTGTAGGAGCCTCCAATCTGTTTTCCATAAAGGTTTCACTATTTTATATGAGTGCCCTGTCCTTACTGTCTTCTTACTTTACTCCATTTTGTCTTTTTTTTTTTTCTCTCTTTGAGATAGGGTTTCTCTGTAGCCCTAATTGTCCTAGAACTCACCCTTGTAGACCAGGCTGGTCTCGAACTCAGAGATCCACCTGCATTTGCCTCCTGAGTGCTGGGATTAAGAGCATAGCCACCAACATCTGGCTTATTTTTGTCTTTTTAACAGCAGCCTGGGTGTGGTGTCCCACTGTGGCTCTGCCCGTCATTTCCCTGAATACTGTGGCTTACATACTTGTTGCCTGTGTGTATTTTCTTTGGAGAAATTTCCTCCCATTTATCCACTTTTCATGGTGTTGTTCGTTCTTTTGTTGTTGAGTTCTGTGTGTATTCTGAGTATTAACCCCTTAGGAGTACCGCTTGGCAACATTCCCCCACATTCCACCTCACCCTGGTGACCGCTCTGCAGTACTGATGGTTGCCTCTGAGTTCAGTGTGTCCACACGATTCTATTTCCCCTCGTGTTGCCTGTGCTGTTGGGTCTTGTCTGAGAACTCTGCCTGTTATCGGTACAACACGAAGCGTCATCCCTGCTTTCTCTAGCTGCGTAATTTCACACCTTACATTTTAACTCCATGATCCATTTTGAGTCGCTTTTGTATCTGATGAGATATGTGGTTAGTTTCATTCTTTGTGTGTAGGTGCATGTGTGTCCCTCCCTCTCTCTTTTGCCCTTCCTCCTTCCTTCTCTCCCTCCCTCCTCCCTGCTCCCCCTAGTTTTCCCAGGTACACTTTAGTTGGAGAGTTATCCACTCTTTACAATCTCAAATGTTGTGTGTAATTGCATATACTAATTGGGTTTGGCGTGATGTTTTTATATTTGTGTACAAGGTGGACCAATCATGTCCAACCTTCCTTTGCCCTGCCCTCCTTCACCCCACCCCTTCCCAATTCCCAGTCGTCAGCACACCATGTTCAGGTCAACTTCATCTTTCAGTTACCACGTGTGAGGAGGAACATGCAGTGTTTGTCTTCTGGGTCTGGCTCATTTTACTTAATGCATGTCCTTCTGTTTTGCTGTAGAGGACAGGGTTACATTCTTTTTGGACGAACAGTCCTCCATTGTGTATTTGTGCCCTGTGTGCCTGATCATCCATTGTTGATACCTGGGCTGGTTCCATGTCATTCTTGACACATGTGTCTGTCGGTCAAAAGGCTGGCAAACAAGGCAGGGACCAAACCTCACAGAACATGCTAAGTATTGTATCCTTAGCCAGGTGCAGTGGCATTCATCTTTAAGCCCAGCACTCAGGAGGAAGAAGCAGGAGGATATCTGTGAATATGAGGCCAGCCAGGGCTACATAGGGAGACTCTGTTTTGTATCTTAGTTAACCAAGAATGAGAGGAACTGTTATTTAGATTTTAAAGAAATAATAATGAATATTTACACTTTACAAACAAACAAGCAAAAAAAAAAAACCCTACAGATTGGCTGGCAGTTGGAATAGGCACAGGCAAGTTAGACTGTTGGGTTGTGAGTGACAGGGCGAATGCTGCCCCAGGTTGTATCTGGCACAAGCTGTCTGGCTAAGCAGGTCTAGAGGCAGAGCAGGTTTGTGGGAAAGGCCATGAGTTCAGTCTGGGCATGTTGAAACGGAGGTAACTTTCCAATGCCCACGACTAAGCAGGTCGGTAGCAGACTCTGGGCTGGGAAATGTGCAGTGTGAGTCCTTCATCTCACTGAGAAGGAAGCTCTACACTGAGCGCCAGGCAGGGGACGGGGTGTCCTTAGAAACCCCAGGGAAAAGCAGACTTAGGTGGGTGCGGAGCGGAGGAAGGAGTAGCTGGGATTCGAGGAGAAAGCCTGGAAGAGCATTGTCTTAGAGGCCAAAAGAGCAGAGGTTGGAGAGGCAGGGTGTGGCCAACAGTCAGATCCACTGAAAGCTGAGAAGAGGGGAGGCTGGAAAAGGCCTGCCCTGCCTTTTGATGCTTCTAGGAGGGCAGCATTCAGAATTAATGGCGGAGGAGATGTCTCACTGGAGTAGATGGAGGCGGGGAGGAGTGAGAGGGGGGAGTTTAGCAGGGTGCCTGGGTTTATGGGAGGGGAGACTGCCACGGGAGAGCAGGGGGGCTATGGCCGGCTAAGGGGCCATCTTCAGTGACCCTATAGAGCTCCTGGGAGGTAGAGGAGGGCCTGTGAGACAGAGCTGGATGCAGAGAAGAAAGGAGGAGGCTGCCATGTTGGCTGATCTCTCTGGTCCAGGGAACGAGAGCTTCCACGCTTCCTGTATGCTAGGAGGCAGAGGGCCTCTACTTGGCGCAGGGTGTGACTCACCAGGACTGCTGATGGTCGAGGTGTCAGAGGAAAGGGAGAGAATAAATGGGGGTGTGAGTCAGCTAGGCAAGCCCCAGACCCGGGTGAGGCAATGGATCGTGAGATCCCGATGAATCCAGTTTTCCCAGAGTGACTTGGTCCTCCTCCCATTGCCATGGAAACTCATTTTGTTCCCACCATCTTTCGTCCACAGACAGTGCTCTTCTGGACTTGTGAGAAATACCCACACCTCAAGGACTGGCAGGTCTTTCATCAGGCTCTCCTGCGCCTGGCCCGGAAGCTGCACAGATGTGTGAGCCAGCACTTCCTGAAACATTACTTTGTCCCAAAGAGCAACCTCCTTCAGTCAGCCAACCCAAGTGAGCTGGATGCCGTGGCCCAGAAAGTGGCCTTCTTCCTAAAGAACCCTCAGGTCACACTGCCCTGAGGCGGCCCAGGGAGCCCTGCTTCATTCCTTTCTCCTGACCTCATTCTCAGGGTGGCTCCTCTGCCAGCTGCCGGACCTGTGCTGACAGAGGCCACCAAAGCGGGCCAGCAATTCCCTCGTCAGAGGCAAATGCTCCTGCCCTAGGCCACACAAGCATTTCACCTTCCCTACCTCTCCTGGGGACAGCTTTCATCCTGCTTCCCCAAGTGACCGATTTTCCTTGCTCAGGTTCTTATTGTCTGCCAAGGGGACTGGAGATGGGCTCTGGGCAGGCCAGATAGTAGCTTGCTGTTGGAGACTACTCGAGCTGGCTGGACCAGGACTCACATACCCAGTGGGTAGTGTCTCTTTAGGACTCTCTGTTCTCCAGCGCCAAGCTGTGGCCAGCAATCCAGGCTCGCGAGCTGTTCTGGTGTACCTCTCTTGACTGTATGGAGTCATCGTGAGGGTTTAGTGCAAATCCAAGAGAGGGGTGTAGCTGGGGCTCTGCTCGTCACCTGACTCTAGTCCCAGCCCTGTCTGCCACGGTCAAGGCTAGAACTTGGCTTCCACTTCAGGAATAAGCTCCATGCTTGGCCTTGCATGGACCCACAGCCTTGTCATTCACGTCTGGATGTCTTCCTTAGCTCGGTCCGTTCACTCGCTTGCGGACACATAAACACTCGCTCGGCACTGAGAATGCCAGAGAGAGCAAGACATGCTTCCTGGAGAAGACTGGAAGTGGACAGCAGATCGGTGAACTCAGAAGTCTGCTAGAAAAAGGTCACAGAGAGATTCCAAGGGGGACATTTGGACAGCTAAAAGGGACCAGAATGGTGACCTCAGGCAGGCTGGGCTGGGTAGGCATGGGGCCCTGGCTGTGGAAAGCTGGGGAGGAATTGGTACTACTGTGTTCTGGGACCAAAGGTGCAGCGTTGACCTCCAACAAGCACACTTCAGATGATGGCTCTGGTGACAGTGGCCTCTGCACCTCTCCATTCTGAAGGGTACCGAGGCTCACAGCATCACACACCTGCACGCAGTGGGGGGGGGGTTCCAGGTGCTCTCAGAATAGCTGCTTTTGGCATTTCCTTAATGTGTCTCAACTCCGGGGGATCCTTTGCGACATTTGAACATCCTGCTGTAACAAATATGCTTAACAAGGCAATATTTCTAAAAGCACAAACCACTGGTTTGGCGACTTTGAAGATGCCTGTGTGTCGAGGATTGAACCTGACCTTTGACACACGGAGCATATGCCCTGCCAATGAGCTAGATGGACTTTATTTTGAGGCTGGATCTCACTAAGTAGCCCAGGTTGGCTCTATTTTTATTAGTTTTTTATTAGAATATATGAGTTATACATAACGATTGGTTTCATTGTGATTTTTCATGTGTATATGAAATGTTGTGTATGAATGTGTATGCATGTGTATAAACCAATGACTTTAATAAGGGTTCCGTTCAGGAATGTGGGCAACTTTAGTGGTTATACCACTGAAGATAATGCTCCTCTAGACCCCACCAACCATTAACTTGTGATCATTTCCTGTCCATGACGGAGTGCCCATGAGTCCAGTCTCGTCTGAGTGACCACGGGCTCTGCGAGTTCAAGGGTACAATTGCACTACTGTGGCTGAAGACAGCAGCCACAGCACTCCACCATTCCATCAGCTCTTGCCTTCGTCCCCATGACACTCCTCAAGCCTTTTTGCAGAGGGTGACAAAGGTGTCCCATTTAAGGTTGACCATTCAGCAGCCACAGCTTCCCAGCATGCTGGCAGTCACTTCTGACCACTGCAAAAAGCAGCTTCCCCAGCGACCGCTGACGTCAGAACAATCCACACTCATCAACATGAATATTTTGAAGGCATCTTGCTAGACATATAATGGCTGCTTCACAAAAACCAGCAGAGGCTCCCCTCTAGGGCCTATCCTGTCTCCGGCTGTAAGGTTTTGACTGGGTTTACAGCCAAAGATGTGGATTGAATCCTAAGAAGCAGGCCTCAAGTCCACAAAGCTACTGATTTCCGTCACCCATAACAGTCATGCCCCGATTAAACCAGTGGGTATATCTTGCCTGGAAGGTAGCTCACGGGGTCTACAGTGGAGGAATACCGTTTGTGACAATTGTCCTTAGCAGCCTGCATAGCACTTTCTAGAACAGCCATTAGGGAAAAGCTTCCGGCCTAGGGCCCAGCTTAATTCTCTGTCCTAGAAACAGATTGGGCAACAGGGTCTTTCCATCTGCCTCTAGTGGGCATCCAAGCAGCAGTGGCAGTAGCTTAGGTCAGCTTTGAGCAGTAACTCAGGTGAGCTTTGAACTTGCAACCCTCCTGTTTCAGCTTCCCAAGTAGCTGGAATTATAGCCCTGTCCACCACTTCTGATTTTGTTTTGGTGAAAATCAATATCATTTTTCAAAAGTACTGCAACCGGATGGTGGGATTCCCCAAGTTTTCACACAGTAAATCAGTTTTTAAAAAGTTGAAAACCTGCCTTATTGAACTAACTTCATATTTTGTTTTGTTTTTTTGGAAGCATGAAATGATTAGCAAACCTATGCTCTGTTTTAATCATTAAGACTTGCCTTCTGATCATCATGTTCTCTGATCACCAGAAGCTTTTATTTTCTCTTTTTGAGAAGGCAGCAGCTGTAACAAGGAGGTTTTGTTTCTGTTTCTCTTTCTAAGATGTAAATGTCTTAAGAAAACATTAAAACAGTCATGCACTCACAGTATGAAAAAAGTGAAGTTGACTGAGCTGTTATTTAAACAGTGTGGAGTTTAGAGAGGGTGGACCCAAAGGCCACGAACTGCGGAGAAATAGCCTGTTCTGTGGAGTCTTGGTGGTTCCCACATCTGGCCAGCAGAGGGCAGCAGGCACTAACAAATGAGAAGAGTCAGCGCCTGTGGGTCCCTCATTTGTTACTGCCTTAGTCTAAAAGCCACACCCTGCTCTCTCATTCTGCTGATGCTAAATTGCTGGCGTCTAACAGCGCCTTAGCTAAAGCTCCAGTCTTTGCTCAAAGCTGAGCTCTGAAGGAGAACCTGCAGGGTGGCCCAGCCTGACACTGCTGGTGTTTAGTTCTGGCGTTCCCCAGGATGGATGGCCAGCACGTGAAGTCTGCTCACCATGCTTCTTGGCTCTGGTCATTTTCTGGGTTTGTTTTCATTAAAACAAGGAAATAAAGACATGCCTGTGTGTCTCTGTGTGCACATGCTCTGTGTGTGTAGGTGCCCGAGGATTCCAGAGGAGGGCATTGGATTCCCTAGACTTGGAGCCACAGGCAGTCATGAGTCGCTTGAAACGGGCGCTGGGAACTGAATTTGGGTCCTCTAACGTCCTCTTACTTGCTGATTCATCTCTCCCTGTTTCCTTCCCTCTCTACCTTCCTCCTTTTTTAAAAATTTATTTTCCAGATGACTTTTTCCATTTCCCATAACACCTCCGTGTGTGGGTTATGCTTTCTCAGGAAATGACAGGTATTTAGCCATTCAGATGAACTCCACTCCTCAGGGATGGTGAAGCCTTCCATGAGGGATCATCAGAATCTGTCAAGTCGTTTGGGGCAGGGCCTAGCCCCTCCCCTGTGTATCTAGACTAAGAGAGTATCCCTCCATGGGAAATGGGCTCCCAAAGTCCATTTGTGCACGAGAGATACATCCTGGTTCCACTGCCAGAAGCCCCATGGACTGCCCAGGCCTCCTAGCTGACACCCACGTTCAGGGGGCCTGGTTTGGTCCTATGTTGGTTCCCCAGCTGTCAGACTGGGATCCATGAGCTCCCACTTGCTCAGGTCAGCTGTTTCTGTGAGTTTTCCCAGAGTGGCCTTGACCCCTTTGCTCATTACTCCTCCCTCTCTGAAACTGGATTCCAGGAGTTTGACTCAGTGTTTAACTGTGGGTGTCTGCTTCTGCTTCCATCAGTTACTGGATGGAGGCTCTAGGATGGCATATAAGGTGGTCATCAATCTCATTATAGGGGAAGGGCATTTAAGGCAGCCTCTCCACTATTGCTTAGGTTCCTAGTTGGGGTCATCCTTGTGGATCTCTGTATAATTCCTAGTGCCAGATTTCTCTTTAAACCTACAGTGGCTCCCTCTATTGATGTCTCTTTTCTTGCTCTCCTCTGTTCCTCTCCCGGTTGCTTGACTTCTAAGTCTCCAACTTTCCCAAAGCAGCTGTTGGTGCCCAAGTGCTGCCCCTCCCCCAGTTCACTGGCTGCAACCCTAATCCCCAACATCTCACAAGACAGCTGTGAGAGAGACAAGCTAAAATGCTTGTGCCTGTGGGTAGGCCCTTAATCCCGTCTGGCTGGTGTCCTCAAAAAGAGACTAGATTCATAGAGGGGGCACTGGAGGTGTGCCTGGAGGGAGGGACGGGCCACCCTATGAAGCAGCACAGGACAGGACTAGCCACAGAGAGATCGAAGCATTTAGCCCTGCCCACATCCTGACTTTGAACTTGTGACCTCCAGACCCTTGAGAAAATAAACACCTTTTAGAAATTATCCCTAGCACACCGAAAGCAATAAAGGGGGCAAACGAATGTGAAAACCTGGTCCTTGGGACAGGATAGCTGCTATGGAAACACTTGTCATGGCGATGCCTACTCCTTCATGGTCTGCTGTGTCTCATAGCCACACCATCCCAAACCAAGCACACTATAAAAACGGAAACCAGCCATGGAACGGCTAGGGATATAGCTCAGCGGGAGAGCACTTGTCTCAAATGTGGGAGCTGCTTTGAAGGTTTTACTTATTTTTTTATGTTAATATCTGGAGGTTTTGTTTTGTTTATCATAGGTCTATTAAAGAAAAATGTAAACAATCAAAACTACCACTACAGAAAAGCCTTTCTGCTGCAGGCCCCCTGTGGTAGCCACCAGAATGGACAATTCACAGAACTTAAGGAGACAGTGTTAGCTGTGTCCAGAAGCCACACAAACTGACCTAATGACAGTAGATGACCAATAGGGTCCCATGGGTTTTGAAGTTTTAAAAATGTTATTGCTTATAAACACATTGAGTTGAGCAGAGGTTTGAATGAGAAAGGGCCCCATGGGCTTGGATGTTTGAAATACTCCATCCCTGTTTGGTGGAACTGTTTGGGAAGGATCAGGAGGTGTAGTCTAGCTGGAGGAGGTGTGTCACTGGGGACAACTTTAAGGTTCCAAAAGCCCACCCCTTCCTCCTACTTGCAGAGAAAGATCTCAGCTCTCAGGTACTGCTCCAGAACCATGCCTGCCTGCCTGCTGCCGCGTCCCCTGTGGTGATGGTCATGGACTCTACCCTTCTATAACACTAATCCCCAACTTAAACACCTTCTTTTATAAGTAGCCCGGGTCAAGCTGCTTTGTCATTGCAGTTGAAAAGTAACTCAGACAGGTGGCTTGGTTATGCTTTCATTCTTAAACACAGAGGTGGTCTGAAAAACCCAATCCCTTCACATTCTAGGCAACCAACTTTTAGACCCCTCCTCATTGTCCTATGTGCATGCCAAGAAGGTACACAATTATAAATTTGAAGTTCAATAAATGTCAGGTCACCTGGTCACACGCTGCTTGACTTCTCTATATTTCTGACTTTTTTCTCTGCATTTCCCAACATTTACTGAAAAAAAATTGTTTCTAAGTCTCCCATGGTGTCACAAGTTTTTCAGTTTCCTTTTGTTTTCATTGAACTTTTGCTTAATCGTGAAACTATGTGGTTAGGGGCATGCAGGCTCAGAAGTGCTACTATCTTCCCAATTAACAGAAGCATTTAACACTTAAAAATATGTGGCCTTTTCTAACCCTGTGACCACTTTACCTGTGTAGGATTTTGCTGGAGAGTCTCCATCTTACTTTAGTTAGCCTCTCTCAGTGTAGCTTTACCTTCCGGTCAGCATCCTCTTGCTACTGAACCTGTTGTTTTAATGGCAAACTTTGTCAAGATGCAACCTATAGCTGAGTTCTTTAGCTTGTGTTTGGGGGCCACGTTTATGTGTCACGATCAGCGTCCATGTGGCTTCATTGCTCCTCTATTGTCACTTGGATTCCAGCTGACCCATCTTGTCCTCTCCCTGTGCCTTCCGACTCTGTTCAAATTAAGATGTCTTTCCTTGCCTTTCCTTTGCCTTTATTGTCTTGTGTTGCTTGCTTGGGAATTTATTGCTCTGTCTAGTTTCTCTCAATGATTACCAGACTGAAATCTAGAGCTAGCCAACTTCTTCACTCTAATCTGACAAGAATCTTAACAACCTTGGGGTCCCATCACCCCCTCCCTGTCTGCTGCTGTCAATTAGGATGTTGGTTTTAGCCCATCTGACACTCCATACAAATGGGTACATAGACAAAGTGGATATTTTTCTATCATTATTTCATAAAGTTCTATTCTGTTCGGTCTACACAGTTAACACCATCTTTACTGTCTGGAACTTCAGACTGTGTCATACCTTTTCTCCTCGAATACACATGATAGCGTTTTCTGTACTGAGAATACACATTGAAGGCGCAGTCCGCTAGCAGTTTTGTTCTTCAGAGAAATTTGGTACTGTCGATTCACACAGCTGTTCTTTGCACATTAAAAATGTGTCTTCTGCTGTCTTCTGGCCTGCTTTATGACTATTGACAAGTCATCCAGTTGACCATTTATCATAGGGTATGTCCTTTTTCTTTCTGAATGTTCTTAATGTTTTTTCTCCCACTGTGTGCGTGCGTGCGTGCGTGCGTGCGTGCGTGTGTGTGTGTGTGTGTGTGTGTGTGTGTGTGTGTTTCTCCTCTTTTCCTTTGGATTATTAGATTTCCTAAATTTGAAAAGTAATTTCCAATAATTCTAGGGAATCGTTCGCATTTAACTCTAAAACTGACTTTACACATTTTTCCTATGGGAAACCCAATGTGGATATGGAGTAAACTCAGCATTCTATCCTCTGTAACTTTCAACCTCTTTCATATTTCCCATCATTTTACCTCTAGATTTAACTACATTCTGAAGGTGTATGTGTGTGTGTTCGTGTGTATGTATGTACATGTGTTTGTACGTGTGTGTATGTGTGTGTGTGTGTGTGTGTGTGTGTGTGTGTGTGTTTGCACCCATCTTTAAAATGACTAGTTCTCTTTGGCTGCATCTAATCTGGTGTTGGTTGTACCCACTGAATATTAACTCTACAGTTTTGGTTATTATTTAAGGGTTTCTTTGGTCATTTCTCAAACCCATGTGATTACACTTTAGGGTCTCCTGTTCTAAGCTCCCCTTTTACATCTTTAAATACAATAAAAGATTTTATTCCATGTAACAGCATTCTAGTATCTGAAATGACCAGAGAGTCATTGCTGGGTTTTATTCTTTGTTTTTTGTTTTTGACAATCAATGCTAGTGTTTGTTTCTTTGTGTGCTTTGTTAATTTTTAATGCGAATATTTGGTTTTCCTTTAAACTTTCATCTCTGGAAATTGAGGTCTGGATTGAAGTTGGGCTACATAAAAGAGACTTACTTTCAAATCTCCCAATTATCCAAAAACACAACCAAGGTCATTTAAATCACATTTCATGTTTGTGGGTTTTCAAGCCAACAAATAGACAAGTCCAGAGAGAAAACATCCAAAGTCACATCTGATCCTTAGGGGGCATCTACATGACTTTCCACCATCCAGTGTTAATATCAAGGTATACAAATCTCATTTGTAGCAGGTTTGTTCTCATAAACCCTGTTATGGAAATGCTGTCTTTCCTACCCAGACTTAATCAGGAGA